CGCTGCTATTGAAATTTTGTGTCAAGATTCATTTAAGTGTTATATGTTTATCATGTAAGACAGGCAGGCCTTCCAAGCCTATGACAGGCGGGCGGAACAAGCATTTGACAGGCGGCAGGACCAAGCATTTGACAGTGGGCCAGACCAAGCATTTGTCAGGCGGCAGGATCAAGCATTCGACAGGCGGCCGGACCAAGCATTCGACAGGCGGCAGGACCAAGCATTCGACAGGCGGCAGGACCAAGCATTCGACAGGCGGCAGGACCAAGCATTCGTCAGGCGGCCGGACCAAGCATTCGTCAGGCGGCAGGACCAAGCATTCGACAGGCGGCAGGACGAAGCATTCGACAGGCGGCCGGACCAAGCATTCGACAGGCGGCAGGACCAAGCATTCGACAGGCGGCCGGACCAAGCATTCGACAGGCGGCCGGACCAAGCATTCGACAGGCGGCAGGACCAAGCATTCGACAGGCGGCCGGACCAAGCATTCGTGACATTTTGTTTATTGCTTTGGATCAACAAACAGTGAGTTATACGTACATTTTGGTATTGAAATAACACATTGAGGCCACCCTATTTCTCTTTAACCTATTCAAGTAATGCGCTGAGGTTCTCTATTCCTCTTTTACCTATTCAAGTAATGCACTGACGTCCTCTATTCCGCTTAATCTATTCAAGTAATGCACTGAGGTCCTCTATTCCCCTTTCTCACCTATCCAAGTAATGCACTGAGGTCCTCTATTCCTCTTAATCTATTCAAGTAATGCACTAAGGTCCTCTATTCCCCTTTCTCACCTATTCAAGTAATGCGCTGAGGTCCTCTATTCCCCTTTCTCACCTATCCAAGTAATGCACTGAGGTCCTCTATTCCCCTTTCTCACCTATCCAAGTAATGCACTGAGGTCCTCTATTCCCCTTTCTCACCTATTCAAATAGGACACTAATAATGTTTAATATTCCAATGGGCTGAGACTTATTCTCTTACAGCACTGGCTATCGATTGGGCGGCTTGCCTCATCTGCAGGGCATCACCGTAAATCATTTCTTCTAGGCAGGCTTCAGGATGTCTTCTCTCCGCCCCCCATTCCACCATTTCGTCTGCCTGGCCACAAAATCGGCAGTTTGGCTCCGTTTGAACATCGAGCTAGTGCAGGTAACTGCGTTTCGCGAAAGGTCCTGTTCTCATCTGGGTGATGAGGATCAGTTCTTATCTCTTCATGTCCTACCAGGGGTCGCTCTTGTGGGGCGGTGGCATTCTCATGTGCAGCTGTCGTGCGGTTTCCCCTCCGGCCCAACGGTCAATCCACTTGTTCCGAAAGTGTTTTTTTTTCAGCCATGCAGTGACCAACAGCATAGTCATTGGCTTATCGGGCTGTGGTTGGGCCGCGCCTTCTGTGGCTAAGAAGTCTGCCCTGTCGTGCTGCTTCACCGCAACGTGCGAGGCGATAAACTGTAGAATTCTTTGACGCCTTTTACCTGGATGTTAACAACTATCTCCAGAATGAAATTTACCACCCTGGTCTCCAATAGAGCCCCTCCCTACTAGCTGGAGAGAAGAGCGTGAGTTGGTGAAGACCAATACGTCAGTGATTTTTTTTCTTTTTTGCTAGGAATTGGTGGACCCTCTTGAAAGCAACAAGTATGGCCTCAACCTCCGCATCGAGGCTCATTCTGCTTTTCCCTCTGGGGCCAGATCACTCCTCGAGGTGAAGCTATCTCTTTGGAACACTGGATGAGGGCACCGTAGCCACTCCGCTCTTCCCTTGCGAAGTATGAGCCGTCTGTAAAGACTTTAAACTGGTTTTCCAGGTAAGCATTAATCGTTCTTGCACTGCCTCTGATAGTTCTGGTTGAGGGCTGGCTTTTGCGACTTGGGTGGATGTCACGGCAAGGCGTACTTCAGGTCGGGTGAGGCTTTCGTGAGGACAACGTGCCGGGATCACTCTCAAATTCTCCCTGTTTTCGTGAGGACACCGTGCCGGGATCACCCCACTTTCTCCCTGTTTGCGTGAGGACACAGTGCCAGGATCACTCCACTTTCTCCCTGTTGTTTTTGGGTAATACCATGTCTTCCAAAAGACTGTGGACCTCGTCCATGAAAGACGGCCTCTTTAATCTGGTTCTCTTTACCCATTGATCCTGTAACTGGTAGCAAGGTTCTTGTCTGTCCATTCGTCGGTATCGTTCAACCGTCGTTAGGGCTGTCGTTTCCCGCCTGGTTTCGAGTGGTTCGACGTCTGTTAAGACATCCACCGCTGACGTGGGATTCGTACGTATCGCCCCGCAAACAAAACTGAGAGCTCTGTTTTTGGATGCGGTTCAGGTCCTCTAGAGCCCTGCGGCTCGCGAATGACTGGACGGGCAGGCTGTAGTCCAGGTCCCCTCTTACACTTCTATGTTAAAGGGACCTTAGCGGTCTTTCGTCAGCGCCCCAATCGGTGCAAGCTAGCTTTTTCACCAGGCTTAATTTCTGTGAAGTCTTCGCGCATATTTCGTGTATGTGGTTATCATGCTGGTGTTTCTGATCCAACTTCACGCCCAAGTACACTGGTGTCCTATCCCATTGCAACTCATTACCATTGATGGTTAGTTTTGTTTCCACATTAAGTGCACCCCTTCCTTTAGTGAACTTTGAGTAGACCGTCTTGTCCGCGTTGCCGACCATTTTCCACTGCCTCTAGTAGGCTTCTTTTCTGAATAGGTCGTCTTCCAGCCGGTTCTGCAAGGTTTTGATATCATTTCCTGAGCTCCAAATTACTAAATCGTAAGCGAAACTCGCGTTCTCGGACTCTAATTCCTCTTGCAGGCCGTACACATAAGCAAGAAACAGGGTGCAGCTGAGGGCGGAACCATGCATGAGTCCGTCCTCTAGGAGTAGCTGGTCTAATAAACTACTGACAACCCGTGAGGCAATGATCCTGTTCTTTAGGAAATTTTCCACCCAAGCGGATATGTTTCCAGGGATTCCCAGTTTCTGAAATTTGTGCCGTAGGCCCGTGCGCCATACTGGGTCGTACACCTGCTTGAGGTCAAAGAACACTTCCACAGTGATTTTTCTTTGGAGCTCGTTTGTCATCGACTGGACGAGACGGATTACCTAGTTCATGGGCTGATGGCCCTTTCGGAACCTACCTTGAGTCGGTTACAGGCATTTATTATTTTCTAAAAACCAGCATAGTTGCCCATTTACAATTCGCTCAACCATCTCCCCCACACATGATGTTAGCGATTTTGGTCGATAGCTGCTTGGTAAATGGCCTGGTTTACCATCTTTTGGTATTGGGATAACATTAGCTTTTTCCACTTCTTCCGCAAGGTGCCTGTAGTCCAGGTTCGGTTTATGAGAGCCAGCTAAATCTCTCTCCCCTGTTTACCTAAATGAGGCAACATCTCGTTATGAACCAAATTGGGACCTAGTGCTTTTGCATTCTTACACCTGTTTATTGCGTCGCGCAATTCTTCCATTTTTGTAAAGCGACGTGAAAAGCTCTTGTTGGGGCCCATGCGTTGGGTACGAGCTCCCCTTTTTTTGAGATGTCGAATATTTCGGTGTTCGTCTATCTCTCGGGTCTTCTTGTTCACTTCAGCGAAGGGTTGTGGCACGCCGTTGCTCTTTTCATGTCGCTCGCCTCGACACCTTTGTAGGTCTTTATTGGTTGTGGGTTTCTTGCCTTTCCCACCGCAGAGAGATTTCCCAGCAGGTTCTGGAGATCGAGCTTTTCACATGGACTTACCCATTTTAATATTTTAGCTTTTCCGACAACCCCCCGAACTTCTGACGTGAGTCGGTTGTAGCCTGAACGAGGAGCAGGTGTTCTCTGTTTCGCGGCCGGTTTTCGGGCTTTGCTCTTCGCTTAACAAGTTGTTTCAGTTCCCTGTTCCAGCACGGTCTGAATTTTCGCTCCCCATTAAATTTTGTTCTGAGGATCGTTTTTCGAATAACCTCCAGAATAGTGCCATTAAACCCCTGGAAGGCAACATCAATGTAGATTGACTCGACATCTAGCGAACTGAGCTTGGTTTCCTTCTGCTTCTCGTACTCACCCCACTTGGCTTTCCGGAAAAGCCAATGTCACGTTTCGCACCGATCCTCAGTCGTGCCAAGAGCAATCTCTAATACAGGGGTCTCAAACTCAAATCATCCGGGGCCGCGGGAGGTAGAGTCTTAGTGAGACTGGGCCTCATTAAGTATTCCAAAGAGACGTGATTACAAAGTCAATAAAGTACAATTGTTAGACTTTATTATTATTTGCTGAACCTTTATTAATAACAAATAAAAACATTAAGGTTTTTCAAGAACTAGAATTCACTTTCTTCCACCTACTCATTATTGCCAGAGATCTAGCAGTGCTTCTTCTTACAAGTGGGCATAGATCTTTGATATTTTGAGCCGGATAGTACAGTGATCATATATTCTTGAGATGTTGAGCCTGAGAATACACTGGTCATAGACCTTTGAGTTGTTCTGACGGAGAATGAAGTGGACATAGATCTTTGAGATGTTTAGCCGGGGAGTACAGTGATCATAGATCTTTGAGATGTTTATCCGGAGAATACATTGGTCATAGATCTTTGAAATATTCAGACGGAGAATAAAGTGGGCATATATCTTTGAAGAATGTAGTTTTGTCATGTGAAATTTAAGTTTATAACTGTTATCTTTAATGGTCTAATCCGCAGATACAAACATGTCCAAGTTGATAACGCCAATGCCAAGGTGCAATCTTAGACATATCTTCACATTGGTCCTCGCCTTCTCCGTACTCACCAATCTGATCCTCATGCTGTTGTCGCGTGAGGCCCGCAAGGATTTGACCCTGACCAACAAGGACAGCGTCAATCTTGAGGCCATGTCGATGGGGATGAAAGCCATGGATGGTGTCCACATCCCGCCCGACCCAGTGAAATCTCCGTTCTTCGTGTCGCTTCTGAACTGCGTCGTGGAGGCCCTGAAAGACAACCGATCAACGTCCATCGACTCAGCTGAACACGATACGAGAAAAGAACTAAAACAGGAGTGGGAGGAGAGGGAACTCAGGGACGAGATGCAGCGCAAAGATGACGTTATTTCCTTTTTATCCCAACCCGTCATTAACGATTTCACGTTCGGATACCTCATAAACCCCAACCACACGTGTGACATCGGCAAAACGCAGCTCCTGTTTGTGATCCCGTCCGCTCCGGAAAATTTCGAAAACCGGGCGATGGTCAGAAAAGGTGGCAAGGCCAGATACGTCAAAGTGAAGGGCAACAATGCCAAAATGCTGTTCTTTCTGGGGATGCCAGCCGCGAGCAGCAATGATTCGGAGAAAACGCAAACTCGCGTCCTTGAGGAGTCGGCGACACACGGGGACATCGTCCAGCTGGATTTCGAAGACGTGTACAGGAACATCCTCCTGAAGGCGATCTCCATGCTTAGGTGGGCCAGCACGTTCTGCCGCCGGACGACCTACGTCATTCGGACGGACGACGACGTGTGGATCCGCGTGGCCAAGGTGCGTTCGGTTTTGGAGAGTACAAGCCGGAAGCACAAGGACTTCATCCTCGGCGACAGAAAAGACGGGTGGGCACCGCACCGCGTTCGTGAAAGCAAATATTACGTATCCGAGGCGGATTATCCACAAAGCACTTTTCCGCCCTTTGCCGTCGGGGGACTTCTGGGCTACCCGATCAGCACGGTGTCGCTCCTGTACCAGGCTGCCGTCAGGCTAGAGCCGCTGTGGCTGGACGATGTTTTCATAACTGGGCTCTGTGCGCCGAAGGTCAACGTGCCTCTGGTCAGTGACCCGGATTTTAAATTCTGGCACAGAATGTGGTGATAAGGACACGTGGGGTGGGGGGGGGTGTGTGTTCGTCATGCCTGGGGATGTTTGCATTATTTTGAGACCCACTCAAATTTGGCGATATTAACGAGTGAGCTTTTCTTTGATTTGATTTAAGATGAGTTTTAAAGATATGGGGCTCATGCAGTATATTAGCCTTTGAAACCTATAATGCCCAGGGTCTCATGAACATCTTCTCGCGATAGATACGCTTCTTATGGTCAGTTTTGTCAATGACATATATCACTTGACCATTGTTGTTTTTTTATTGTTTTTTTTTTTTTGAGTTGTAAATTAAAGGGCATCTGGGTTTTTTTTTTTGTTGGTGTATTCTAAATTTCTAACTTGTTATTTGCCCTGTTGAGGACACATGAACATAAACTTCATGTGTTGAGCTCCAGTACAGCGATAGGTATTTTTTTAAATTTATTTTAATGCGAATGAAATATAAAGCTTTCAAGAACGATATGTTAATATATCACTTGACCATTGTTGTTTTTTTATTGTTTTTTTTTTTTTGAGTTGTAAATTAAAGGGCATCTGGGTTTTTTTTTTTGTTGGTGTATTCTAAATTTCTAACTTGTTATCTGCCCTGTTGAGGACACATGAACATAAACTTCATGTGTTGAGCTCCAGTACAGCGATAGGTATTTTTTTAAATTTATATTAATGCGAATGAAATATAAAGCTTTCAAGAACGATATGTTGCTAGTGCAACATCCCGTTTAGGCTGACGTACAGAGCCCTATCGTACAGAGCACTAAAACACAGAGCCCCTAGCATACATATTCTTAACGTAAAGTCCCCTGACAAACAGAGCCCAAGCATACAGAGCCCAAACGTACAGAGCCCTAGGATAAAAAAATAACAGTACATGGGTAAATAAAGCTTTATAAATCATGAACGAAATTTTGTGTAACAATATTTTTAAAAAATTTAAATCCACAGTTTGATTGATTAATTTTTTATTTTTTTTTTATAATACGAGACCAATAAAGGGGAGATAATCCCTGGACGACGCCTATTATCATGTAAACCATAGTTGTAATAGATTTTTGGTTTTGTTAGTTTTTTTAACTGCATTATTGTAACCCGCTGTGTACAAAGTGTGTCAATAATTTTGCAACATTTTGTAACACCTGTCACATTGATGAATATTTAATAAGTTGCAATTTTGCTGTTTCAGTTAAAATTCATTAACGTTTATCATATTTCATGTGTGTCGTTCCCACAATCTTTTTAGCACAAAGTCCAGTTACACATGGGCTAAATGTATATTAAGCATGCCACCATCATGAGCATCTCACTCGCCTGCTGAACTCCGGCATATTTTAAAGTCACCATTCATTCACGCCAACATTGACAGGTCCAGTGTTTCGACGTCTGTTTACCCCTGTCTATAATTTTCGTTAACAACGAGTCCCGCTCGTTAAAAAAAAATAATTGCATACACTTGAATAACAATAATATATATATATATGTATATATATTCCCATACCCCCGGGTTTACCCGTACCACAGTTTGGGAAGCACTTGGCTAACTGAGCCTGAGTCCATTGATCATCGTCAACTGGATCCCCATGGCGAAATGCCAAGGAAATAGTTTTGGAAAAATTGATCTCAAATAGTAATGAAGGGAGGACACGAAGAGGATTATACCTTACTGGGGCTTAACCCAGTGCATTTTTCTTTCACACTGGGTCCAGGTGTTATCAGAAAATATCCGGAGTGTCCTAGTGTAAAAAAAAAAAAAGAAAAAAAAAAGAAAAGTGAGTTAACTTTTCTAGAATATTAATACAGTTTATAATGCAACGAAATCTACTCCCCGATGACATGGTGAGATTGCATTTGCCTTCGTCAGCCGTCAAGAAATAACCAACTGATATGAACAGGCCGTTGCCCCGATCACGGGACAGAGATTGCATTTGCCTTCGTCAGCCGTCAAGAAATAACCAACTGATATGAACAGGCCGTTGCCATGATCCCAGGACAGAGATTGCATTTGCCTTCGTCAGCCGTCAAGAAATAACCAACTGATATGAACAGGCAGTTGCCCCGATCACGGGACAGAGATTGCATTTGCCTTCGTCAGCCGTCAAGAAATAACCAACTGATATGAACAGGCAGTTGCCCCCATCCAGGGACAGAGATTGCATTGTACACAGGCCCCGTCGGCAGAAAAGATGACGCCGTTCATTTTGTAACAAGGACCTACCAAACAGGAACAGTCGCGGTATAACAAAGAGGAGCAGTGACCGGAGTGCAGACGTTAACAGCATTAAGCTCGTTGTGTGACAGCGGTACGCAAACAATAATAACACCGAATGATAGTCGCCTCCGACCTAAAGAAGAAGAAGAAAAAAAATTCAGCATTTACCGGAGTTCATGTGTCACGCATTAAGCCCGCTGAGTGACACATTTTACCACTCAGTACTATTAATATAAAATATGTGAAGATATTTTTGGGGTGTGGTGTGAAGGAGGGGAGCGGTTTTGAAGAGGAAGCAGGACGCACCAGAAGCATGATGATAGCCGATTATATAAGACATAAACTCATATAATAAATTAGAATCTTGATTTACAGATCTCGTTTCACAACACATAGTACCTATCTGGTAATATTACATACACAATGTGTTATGAAAAAAGGGAACACTTTTTATACAGCATGTTTCCCAATTTTAACCCACGATTTTATCGGCACGTTCCAAAATTAATATTAATTATGAATGCGAATCATAAGTTGGATACTTTTTAAACTTTTAAAAGGGTATACATGTCGTCAAAATGTTTTAATTCTCCCAGATATAAATCTAAAAATAATAAAGTTAAAGAATTTGTTTAAAATCAAGTGAGATAAAGATGTTGGCCCCGTTTGGTAATAACCCTAGATACGCCACTGCTCCGTAGGGAAATTAGTGGATAAAAATCTATCCTAGCACCAGTTAAAGTACGACTGAATTTAATTAGCATTGCGTAAGGAATTTGTAGATGGCCAATGTAAAATTCTTTTTAAAATTAAATTTATTTTAAAAAACCAACAAAATCTAAATAACTTTATATATTTTAAACAGAAAAAATTGTATTCCGTGTCTGAAAATCATATTTAGATGATAAATAGAACCCAGCAGTCACCGTATGTCTGAGCTATAGGCAGAAATATATAGGCCTTTAGACATAAATGTGCTCACTGTTTAAAGCTCAAAATGATTTTCATCTTACATACCGGGTAGCTCAAACACAGAGATCGATTTTAAGATAAGATAAAATTCTTTTATTGATCAAAATAAATGGAAATGTTTTTTGATCGCATTATACATTTTCAGCTCAAAAATAAAACGATTTGAACACAAGCATTTTTAATAAATTATTTCAAGCAGCCATTCAGTGAGTTCTCTTAGCAAAATCGTGGACTTATTAGTTCTCATTCAGATGTGTGACTTCAGAGAAAGCACACCGGTAAATTCATACAGATTGGGGAACAAAAGAATTTTTATATCTGTCAGTCCTCGCCCTGATAGAAAGAATTCGACCCGTGCGACCCGATCCTAAGTATCTATGATGAAGAAGGCGGGATGTATCATCCAAAATGTGTTTAGTTTTACAAAAACATCTTCCTTCAAAGAGTTCTTCAAGTGAAGGATGTTTAGTTTGTGCTATATTCCTAGCTTTCTTGATTAGTCGGTTTATGCGGTGTTTAATATCAGACGTTGAATTCCCACACCAACAGGTAATACTAAAGTTAAGCAGGCTTCCAATAGTTGCACTGTAGAATAAGTTAACGACCTGCTTATTTACGCCGAAATTGTACAGTTTTTTTGAGGTAGTACAGTCTTTGGTTGAGTTTCGTATACACCCTTTGGCCGTGCTCATGCCATGGTAGCTTATTATTAACTAGAATAAATGATCCGTTGAAATCGGAATAATAGTGGTAGATCCTATTGCGATAATTTCCAACTGCTAATGCAAGAACTCGTCACAATTCATAACTTTAAAAATCTAATGATATTTACGTTGCTAACCTCATTACGTTTTGAGAAGTATTTATATGCTATATGTTATAGGCCTACCCTTCTCCTTTTCACTCTCCTAAACTACTTTATTCCCCCCTCTAAGCATGGTCTTAAATTACACAGTCTAAATTGTTACTAATTATATCACTTTTTTCACTAAAGAAGTTAATTGAGGGACAATTACTACGTTAGAGAAATACTTTAGATTTACCCCTATTCGTGCCCTTGAATTACAACTTTTTTTCTCTAAAAAGCAGTTAAAAACCTTACCTTAAATTTACACCAAAACTCTATATATGAAATAAAAAATATTTTATGCTATAGGAATTCGATATATATTGATATCTTCAGCAAAAATTTAAACACATTTTTGCCTTTAAAATATATATATATATATATATTCAGAAAATCGTAAAACAAAGAATTCTTTTATCTAAAGAACCTTTCTTCACGTCTTTAACAGATTTGAGTCTTGCTGTTGTGTTTTTTTTTTTAATTTAAATGTTTAATATCATAAAATACAAATCTCTTTCTTTTTTGCAAAGTAAAAGCAAAAATTTATTTTAATTTTTTGAAAGTAAATATTAACCCATCCCTATTTTTAAAAATTAATTTTTCAAGTATATAAAATGATTGGGTTTTGATATTCATGGATATACTTATATAGATTTCTCAAAGATTTGTTAACGCCGTTGATCTTCTTAATTGGTAAACATAAGTATATTTGTAAAAAGAGAATGTAACATCTCTTTTTTCACATATGTAATACCATAGGAGTTAACTATATTGTCATCCACGTAAAAATGAACACATCCTATTTCCTACCTCTGCAAGAAAATAAATGATTTATCAAAATCATTCCTTTATTTTGAGACGTATCTTGTGCTGCCTTGGGCAAAATGAACATACCCATATTTGTAAAAAGAGAGAGTAACATCTATTTTTTCACATATGTAATACCATAGGAGTTAACTATATTGTCAT